TAACCTGGCCGCACGCTAGCGATCGAAACAGCTAGCTCCGCTGCGCCCCGAGTTCCATGCGGGATCGTCTCGTCGCTTTACCGCTGGTTAAGCGGAGGGTTTAACACCCGACACGACCCGAGACGGGCCGGCGCGCCGCGGCGCGGCCGAGCCCGAGCGAGAAACACGAATATGCATATGTCATTCACATGTAATGTGTAATTCATACGTGATATGCAATTGTAGCGTGTAATTCATACGTAATATGTTTATACAATTATAATATATAATTTCACATGTAAATACCGCGCGCACGATGCAGGCGGGGTCGTGGATAAGACGAGAAGTCAATGGCGAGATGTGCTTCCTCCGGCCTGAAGGAGCGCACGCCACGAGAAAGCGTTTCGCGAGATTCATTGGCTTTGTTCGCGGTGGGCTGTTTATTTGTCGCCTGGTCTTTCGAAATCTCAGGTGCATATTTATTCGAGTAATTATTTATTCGTTCGGGCGCGAATGGAAACATGATACACGCCGGTTTCACGCCGCGCGCTCAGCTCTGCGAACAACTGCAGCTCGCGTCGCGCAATATAATGCAACACCCAGTGCCGATGGCTGCATCGGCGAACACGCGCGAATATCCGGGGTAGTTGTTGCGAGCGGAACGGTTTACGTTTCCTGGCAAATTTTTTTTTTCGAAATATGCAAGTCATTGCGCGGCCGTCACACCGGCCGTTAAACCGAGGCGCTTTTTCCGAGCGACGCGACGCGCGCCTTCACGCGCGGAATCGAGAGCAACGTGTACGCGCAATGATAAGCCGCAGGCTTGTGATTAAGCCAGCGCCGAGGAAACGCCGTGTTTTCAAGAATAAATAACACGATCGCGCGATCAGCGGAGTTCCTCTTAATTTGCGATCTGCTGCTCTCGGCCGCTCCATCGCGCGCGCGCGCGCGCGGCTGATTTGTGTTTTTACGCGACGAAGCTCTCTTCCCAGTTTCTCTCCGCTGTCGCGACGCCAGCCGTTACCCAATTCTACGACGCTCCGATCAGCGATAAATGAATGCTTAATTAATTTCCGTGCGATCGCCGACGCTGCGAGCGCTCGATTCATGGCGACACGACCGCGCGCGCGGACTTTCGCATCCCGACCGTGTATGCAGCTTCAATATTTGCCAATCGATATCACTTATTTTCCCTCATTCGTACACATCGAGTTTCAATTCCAGCATCGGCCGGTTGAAAACACATCGCATGCGGTGGCGCTTCATCACTCAGCAAAAAATGGCATATTTCTGGCATATTTTCTCCATAAAATTATCGAATGTTTATCGCTGTCGCGACGCGTGATAAATGTCAGGGGGAAACGCTCCCCGTTACGTTTCTCTCCCTCTCTCTGCAAACATATCCACTCGAGCCGAGCACATCCGCGAGTGCAAAAAATACACACTTTTAATAACGTAATTACTCGCGCGTCGCATATTCCGGTCATCGCGGGGCTTTCGCGTCGCTATCATTCAGCGACCCGGCGACATGCTCGGATACTACTTTCACGCACGTCTCACGATAAGCCGGCGCCGCATTGCACGAGGACGGAGGACGTGGGACGCGTGGCCCCGGCGAGGACGAGGCAGCCGGCCGACGACGAGGAATCGCACTTTTCCGCGAGCCGCTGTCCCGATTAGGGGAATAAAATTCCGCGACTTACGACCGCTCGCGGCGTTATTATTATTGCTCGTGGCGATTTGCATCGACGCGACCGGCCGTGAAGGCCGCCGAAGACGATCTTCGTCGGCGGACCAGGTGACTACATGGAGCGTATAGAGATGCGCGCGCGCGCGCGCGCACGAGCGCGGTTTCGTGACTTCATAAGGAAAAGGCGGAGGTAGCTGGCTTTCTCCAAAGCCACTTAACCCGATCCAGTAACATCCATCCATGGGCCGTCACGCCTGTGACATTTCGCGGTAGTTTTGCATCGGCGTAATCGGCTAAGACGCGCGCCGCGCGATCGCACGCGCGTGTCTCGTATATCTTCCAATTACCAAACGCCGCGAAATTCTAGTGTCGGAGGAGTAGCAGTGGAGGAAGTGAAGAGAGGGGAACTAACACGTCGGGGTCTGGGGCAAACTTTCTTCCTTCGAGTTCTCCTATGAGCCAGAGCGCAGCTATCGCGATATCGATACGGAGGAAACGTTTCTAATTCATTTATGACTGAGATGCTCTCTCGCGACTTCTACGATGAGTCAGTCAACCCGATCACGTTAGAATATAGTCAAGTCGAAATTTGGGTTCCAAAATATATCTCGGGAGCGTTTTTCTATCCTGAAAGTCGTCTCGAGAAAGTAAGGCGTCTTTTGGACGTCTTTAAGAGGTATTTTAGAAGCTTGCGGTGGTTGGAACGTATTTCTTTTGAATCACCAGACTTCATCAAAATTTCCAACGTCAATGAAAACAAGCGAACATAAGAGATTCCGTAATGGAATAAAATTCATTGCTTCATTTATCCATCTAATCATTTTAATCTTCTAATTAAATTAATGAACATTTGCTCATCGCATATATCCCACCAACAGTCGAGTAAATTGATTGAAAAAATGCATTTCTGATTGAATTTAACGAAAGATTAAATGCAGATGGAATGTCAAAATAATCGTACGTTAAACAATTTTGAAACAAGATCTTTAAATCTCGATGTGACAGCGACAGCGACAGTAAACACTCGTAGTGTTGTAAGACAATGTAGCTCATATTACATTGCATCGCGCGGTTCTCCTTTAATCTTTCAAGTTCGATAGAATTTGCATAGTGCATAATGTAGAAGCAAAATTTCCACTTGAATAAGAAATCTCAGTTGAACTTCGTAACAACGCCTACACACATGGTAGCTTCCTGATCCTCACGAACGTAATCATCCTTGTTTCAGGCGAGTCCGTCGAATTTAATTATTAAAGACATTGACCCAATTCCGAGCCTTCACCCTTTGCCTTATTAACGCCGGTATGTCGATCGCTTCTCTAGCCTCGCGATGTTAAGACGTTGTTACCTCAACGTAGCGAGATAAACATCGGAAATTATAACGTGTATCGCCAGTGTAGATTGTTGTTAATTATGCGGCTGATAACGGCCGCTCGTGCGCTTCAAATGGACGAGATATTCATCTGTTTTGCGAACGCTCTCAGTAATTTGCGCGTGTTTAGACGGAAGTGACGAGTAAATGAAACGGATGCTGCTTTCTGGAAGCCCGCTCCAAGACTATAAAGATTCGCAAGAAAGAGAGAGAAAGAGCTCGCGTGTCGTGTCGGAGAAAATAATAGATGCCGATCCGATAACGCGGAACATTCGTCGCGTCCCGGGTACTTTCTTATTCCAGTATCCTCTTCCTCTTATTAGAAACGTCGAGAAGTTTCTATGGATCTTTTATGATGAATACATTCTACACAGTGGTTGGATTTCCTCGGGTCGTTTCTGATACGCTTGTTCAAGATGGCACGATAAAGCCGTTCGCGCGCAAACAGCTGCCTCGGAACAATTTGCCGCGTTGTAATTTCGTAAGCGGTAAACTTTATCTACGAACGGTGGAGGGAAACTTGTTAATCTCGATTGCCGAATGCAGGAAAACATTTTAGCGAAGTGAAACTACATTCCGTATTATTCCGATTACATCGATTTTTAAGCAGATCATCCTATACATGATATACACACGTGTTTTAACAATTGTTATATTTGTGCATTGAACTGTGTAGCCGATTTTTTCCCACGGAGCCGCTGATATCGAAATACGCACAAACGCATCCTGATCTCGTTTCTTAAATTATAGATCTATCGCGTGGGTATCGGTTGCGCAAGCGGGAATTAAAAATTAACTGACGGATGACAGCGGTCCAACATAAAGGGAACAATTCGATATTGCGTTAGTATTTCGGAACTATCCTGTTCTACTAGCAATTTGCCAGCGGAAAGATACACATATCCGTTGCAATAGTTTGAGTTAGTTTAACTCGGACAACATTGGCGGGGCGGATCTCGTTGGCGCCATCCAATCCTGCGCGAGCGTCGGTATTAAACAAATATCAATATTCTAAACAAACATGCAGCGATTCTCTCTGTCTCTATTAAACCAGACTTCCCGCAGTAAAAACGAAATAGAGACGTTCGAAATAGAAACGTAGCCAAGTGTCACGGATACTCCTGATTCGCGATTTCCAACGCTTCGCTGAAACGAGAGAGAAACGCGCGAGAATTTTCGCGATTTGAGAAAATGGGACTTTGAGACTCAGCCACGTACTGGTTCCTTTAGGTAGGCACAAAATGCCTAACTAAAGAATATTAAAGTCCAATAGGATCCGAAATCGATCTTCTCGGGATCGTTCTATTGAAAGACGCGAAATCGACTATGTATCGCCGCGCGTCATGTTTGCAGCTAAGTTCAAAGCACATAGGGATCCGTCGCGCGTAGGGATGCGACGATTTCTCAAAATATCGATAACGGTATTATCGTCATTCAGAACTGTCGATAACGATAATATCGATAATTTTGAAAAATATCGATATTTATATAAAAAAATTTATAGCAATATGTATACATACAGAAGTATGCGCATAAAGGGTATACACGAAAAATTTTAAAAGATCTGTTAAAAATGTTTATCTTCATATAATTTATTGTCATATTCTTATTGGAAAATATATAATAAACCGCAGTCGTTTGCCGGAGATCACCGCATACATGGAGCAGATCTATTACGGTTCTATCACGATTGAGCTTAAAATGATAAAAATGAGCGAATTTATTAGACATCGACCAATTACATAATATATATTCCAGTGAATTCATTCACTTTTGTAATTTTCATCTCGATCGTAGAACCGTAATAGGCTCCCAGAGCTGTAACTGAAAAATACGAAATATCAGTAAAATTCATATCGATGTATCGATTTTATCGGAGACAGAAAAATATCGATAAATGTTCGATAAATTTGTCTCTCGATACATCGATATTTCGATATTATCGATTTATCGTTACATCCCTAGGCGCGCGAGCATATCGAAGATCACAACGGCTGAAGATCGCGACGATTCTTTTTATTGCAGAACCGACGCAGGAATCATCGAGGTTGTATAGAATTCTTATCGAGTTAATTTTCCCTCTCTAATTTGTACGATTATTATAAGCGAGTCGCGTAAACGGCGCTGGGTAAACGCTTTCGTTAGTCGCTCCGAAATTTCCACGTAACCTAAGTAACGTAAGACAAAGTCATAACGCGAAGAGGAATGTGTCGATTACGACACCGTAATCGGTGACCGCTGCAGAAACGAAAAAGAATTGACGTCGCACGTAATGCGCATTCGATAATCTCTTCTGTTCGATAATCGAGTCTCAGTTGAGTAACTGAAGACACACTCAGTAGTTGCTCGGCATGATTCGGCAGTGCCAAAGACGCGCGACCTTCAAAGTCGCGCGCTCTTCGACGTAGCGACAAAACATATCAACAAATATATAAGTCCTCGACACGCTCGCAAACATAACATTCTGTCGCGGAGCATCGAAGACGTCGGTCGTCGGTATGTCTTCCGCTATTTTCGCGAATTCGATCAGCGTGTGTGTAACTGCTTGGTGTTATTGCTTGTGTAATACTTTACGGTATTCGCGTTGTGCTCATGGCAGTCATCGTCGTGAGGTATCGTGAATTGATGATTCGACGGGTGTAGAAATGTAAGGAAAAAAGAAACATATAACCGAACATTCGCGTTCTCAATTATAGTCTCAGCACTGATCGATATGTCTACTTTACCACCTCTCTCTCTATCTCTCTACTCTGTCATCAATCAAGAAAACTGCTTTTTGCTTCAGATCTGATGGTTTTTGCGATCAACGAGGAATATTCCTACGACTTCGAGAGATGCCGAGGACAGCTACAGCAGAAGATCAAGTTCGAGTCGAGCGGAGTCGTCCTTGACGTTCAGCGGTTCGGTGAGTGAGAAATGAAAAGAAAGTTCTACCGCTGATGGGTCTTATTCGAAATCTCATTAATCTTCGAGCAGTCGCGTCTTAAAGAGGAAGACAAGCGCAATAGCACGTTTGCTATTCTATTTCTCTCGCAGCAACGCTTATTCATTTTCTCGTGTGCTCCAATTCTGTGTCGTTCGTGACATCACAATTTTAATTTATAAAAGAGATCGCTTAAAATGCAAATTTCGTCGTCAAAGCGGAAAATATTGGAGAAGAATGCTGTTTACGTGGCACACATCGCCCACGCGACTTCTCGATGGTTAACCTTTGTTAAGGCCACGACACATGCTATCACAAGCAAACATTTGCGTCGTGTTTTCTATGTACGTATGCATATTCGTGCTAAAGTATTAAACAATCGAGTTTGAGATGAAAAATTTTACGCAAGTCTTGCGGATGCTAATTTATGTCTGCTATGTTTTGAAATTACTGACGCGTGTTTTACTTCTATTTCTCTATATTATTCTACCGAATTTGAATTAAAATCTCTATTATCGAACAACATTATCGGACATGAAAAAGTGTCATCCTTATTTTTACGCTTCCTCCCTCCACCCCATTATTGAATATCTAAATCATATTAAAATTTTCAACGTCAATTTATAAAAGGCACTCAATTTCGAGTCGCGAAAACTTCGAATGAAGACATGTATAAACATTTATCTCGGCACGGAGCAACGCGAGTCACGTTCTTCGATTCCGTCACGATGCCGCGACAGGGAAAAGTTATTCGCGCGCAAATCGCGTTCGAGAACAAACATTGTTTTAAGAAGCGTATTTTGCCAAGCTCTCTCGAATCGGCGTCCCAATGAAATCATGTGAAAGGAGAGCTCACATTCCGAAAGAATTGCACCGCTGTACAATTGGCCGCGACGTGATTTCTGTGTTTGCCCCATTAAGCACAATCTAAAAACCGCGATTCGTTTCTAGGTCGAGTCGCGTGTTTTGGTTAGGGAATACCAAGTGCGTTCGCTCGTCCCCACGGATTTTGCGTGTGGACAAGATGAAGTGTACACAGACCGGCATGATAGATTTAACATTCAGTACAAGGTCACTAGTATTTTCTAATCATACGTATCCTTTGAGATTCCTAGATGTTAACGTAAAGCTACTATTGACGAATCGCTTTGACAAAATCGTTCCCTCTACTTTGAATAATCAATAAATAATAAATCGACCCTGCGCGCAATTAAAGAATCCTAATAACCTAATTGCATGGAATGTCAAAGCTATTATGCTGGTCTGTACACTTCACGATGACAAAACGTGTGTTTAGCTCGTTTCGTTTTATTTGGCTAATGTGTAATTACGGTTAAATGAAGTTAAATCGAAAAATTAGAGAAACGTTTTCTAAGTTAGAAAAAAACCGCGGGACAGAGATTGATTCTTTTTTCTATGCTTGAATTTTCCGCATATGATGACTGCAAATTACGACAAGTAATAATTTGGGCGGGGAAATCATATACCTATACTTGAAGCTCATTACACGTGAACTCATGCTTGAGTATGTATATCAGTCGTATCTTTATCTCTGAGCTATTATCATAACAGATATAACGAAACAATGTCGGTGAGGCTTTTATTTACTGTAAAAATTACAATTGAATCTACACCGTCCCTCCGGATTTCGTTGAGCGAAAATACGGGAGCGTTTCAATCTCAATTCTCATTAATGCTATTTGCTTGCATCGTTGTTTTGCGATTATTGCAGGCAGCCTGTAATACTAACAGTAACAACCTTCCATCCGCTTTCGCGGCCTCCTTGTTTCAATATCTCGGCGCAAATTCGTTCGCTATGTTTTAAAACTCCGCTAAATACAGTCGAGTCAATTTCGAAACGAGCCGAGAAGAAGTAGCCTTTTTTGCCTGTTTACATTTGAAATTTGAAATTTAATCCATTGAAACTCGCTCCTCTGCCGCTCGCCGCTCCAAACCGCGCTGCAAAAAATGTTTTGGCGGATTTGAATAACACGGCGGGAGTAACACGATGCGTCTTCGTTCTCGCCCCCGAAGGGATCGTTCTCCATTCGCGGAAATGATATTCTCCCACACTTTATAACATTTTAAATCCTCTGAAGTGAAAGAGAGAGAACGAAAAAAGACGGGATATATTTCTTTGCGCCGCGGCATATCTCCGCTCGCGAGTCTGAGAGAATGATGCGCGCTGTCCGGAACAGATCTTGGCCCGCGAATTTTCCCCTCGAATATCTTCGTTCGCGCGTGTTCGCGAATACCGCGGATCTCGAGGAATTGAGATCCGTTCTGCTACATTTCACGTGAAATCGCTCTCGATACGAACGCGTGAAGCGACAGCGAGCAGAACGGTGGCGCGCATCGCAATTATCGGCATTTACGATAATTAAATATGCGTCGCGGGGGTTGGTTCGACCAAAAATAGTTCGCGAAAAATTGTCGCGATTTCTCTAGACGGTCGATTCAGCTGGTATTTTTGTCCTTTGGGGATTTTGATTCTTTACGGAACGTTCGCTAGCGGGTTGACTCGCGGAGTGCACGCGTGAGAAACGACGAAGGAGCGCTGATTAGGGCCATTTTCATCGCGCGATAAGAACGCTCCTTTTGCATGGAGAAGTGTTTCGTTACTCGCTCGCCTTGCTATTCGAATTTCACTCTCTCTCTCTCTCTCTCTTTCTCTCTCTCTCTCTCTCTCTCTCTCTCTCTCTCTCTCTCTCTCCCTCTCTCTCACCTGCCAATCTACTGGCGTCCGCGAGAATCGCGTGTAGAATCGGAATTTAATTCGCTCATCTATTCCCGCTCCAGTCTCGACTTGAGCATTTTTTCTTCCGCCCCGATTCGATATTCCGTATTTTTTTTCTTTCCCGGAACATCCACTTGATCTCAATTTAATTATTCTCGATTTCTACCGCGTTGGCATTCGCGACGGGATTTCGCAGCCGCTCGATAGCGCCGGAGGTGTGTCCGGCGGTATGTATTTTTTAAGCCCGCGAACAAAGCGCGAAATATAAATTGTTGCGATGCATACTTTAACGACGTGAAATTTCCGATGCGCACACCGGCGTTCCATCGCGACGTCACCTCGTTACGAGTTTATCGAGCACGCCCGGCCGTTCATTAAAGCCGCGAACTCAATTTTGCGAAATTCCTCTCCGCCATCCCGGTTCGCACCGGACCGAGAGACAGGAAGGTGGGCGTTGCGCGATGCGTGGGCGATGTTCGAAATCACGAGCATCCCCTCTCTCTCTCTCTCTCTCTCTCTCTCTCTCTCTCTCTCGCTCTCTACATTGCGGCACTGCGCAAATATCAAACGCCCACACTATTGTTCGCGATGCCATTGCGACTGTAGAGGAGAGAGAAAGAGAGAGAGAGAGAGAGAGAGAGAGAGAGAAAGAGAGAGAGAGAGAGAGAGAAAGAAATGCATGTGGTAAATACCCGGCGACGGGGTGAAAGAGGGAAGGGAGGGGAGCGCACAGATACAATCGACAGCTCGATATGCAATTGCGAAGGCGGGCGATCGCTGCTTTTTAATGTTCGTCTGCTAAGTACAAAGGCGGACACGATGACAAGAGGTGAAAATGGAAGGAAGAGGCGGTTGTTGTGGGTAGATAGGTAGGTCGGCAGGTAGTAAGGTGAAAGCGCACGTCGCGCATATCGCACCACCGATCGATCGATACACGGAATATTTACAAGTGCGTCGGAATCGCGTTATTCGGCTCGCAGTGTACGCTTCCGCATCGGTGATATTTGTCGACGTGTCTAATTGGCGGGCAATGTGTCAGATCGCGATGGAACGGTCAAAGCGTGTAATATTATAATATGTATTTCCGGGCAATACTGATCGAGGGATTGCCCGGAGTTCGTTTGGCGAATTTTTGCAACCACGAGCAGCACGCTTGGCTTTCGTCACGCTGCTTCACGCTGTTCTTTCGCCACTCGTTTCGCATTAATCGACGAATTAAGCAAATATTTGCCGCGTTTTCATTCGCGCGCCGGATTACCAAATAAACCACGCGACTGCCCGAGAAAATTACGGGATCGCGCGAATTGCCTTAGCGGCACTTCAATTAGCGCCACTGAATTTCAGCATGTCCGTGTGGATTGGACGGTTAAATAATTAAAACGCCCCAAATGTCACCGATACGTGGTACAAAATTTCTCCGCGAGTCTAAAAACACGCGTATGAATATGCAGTTACACACGTACGCGTGCGCGTCGCTGTGTACACACACATATGCGTATATATCAATAATAACTTCCATATATTTATATATATATATATATCATTCTTTTTATAAATTAAATTAAATAACACATCTCGCGGTACATGTATCGCGGCGTACAGGCAATTCGCGTGTTCGTTCCTCCGCTGTGCGATCGTCCGGACAAAGCCGATCCGCAAAATCCGCGCGGTGCTGCTGTTCAGATCGTAATTTACGTAACGAGTCATCGCTCGATCGCTCGCGAGCGAACCATCGAGATTAATGAGCACACTTTTATCCTCGTCGAGGCACCGTTAGTTCGCTCCTGAAACGAGAATAACTGCGAAACGAAGTGCTCGTCGAAGAGAGAAAGATGGAGAAAGGCAGAGAGAGAGAGAGAGAGAGAGAGAGAGAGAGAGAGAAAGAGGAAAATTACGTTTACGCGGAAGGCCGCGCGGCCGGTTTTCCTTCGACTTTTCGCAGGGTCAATCCGGGATAACTGGATATTCACGAAGCCTGAAGAATGAATTTAGACTTCCGTCGGAATTCACGCGAGATTACTGTGGAAATACCGAATAAGACTCGCGAGAGGGAGACAGAGGAATGTATCGCGCAGCTTGACGTCGACACGGAGCGGCGGTTGAAATCGCGCGATGATGGTTCCGATTCGTTTATCACGGATATTACCTTTCGCAAACAGGCTTGATGAAAAATAATCGTGCACGTGGTTTAAAGCGGACGGAATTCGCGATTGATTTTCCCCTTCTTTGCGTTTACTCCGGAAAACTGTCTGGCGCGTTCGGCGCACCCGGTGCTGGCACTTTTATTCCGGCATTTGATGAATAAATAGACGAGACTCGAGATACTCTTATCACGCACAAGGGGTTGTCGCGCGCGAATGTTACGGTTTCCCGGCGTCCGGAAAATACGACAGAGGGTTGACACGCACGGTTTCGCCCTTTTGTGCACCACGAAGCCGACGAAGCTTCGCTCCGTCAATGTGGATCTTTATACATAGTCTGGCGTTTAACAGATACCGACATTTTCGCTGCGAGCGAACGTTTCGGCGACGAGTCGAATAAGTTTGCCAAAGTACCAAGCTTGCACAGAGGAGCCTTCGTGCGTGCCCGTCGCGTGATCCGAAAACCTATTCTACTATTTTTCTTTATACAGATGCGGATTTTTCTTGGAAAAAATACGTGTATTCTGAATCACAGTAACTACACGATAACTCGCCTTATATATAAGCGGTAGGTAGGGAAATATACAAAATATGCAAAAGTTGCAGTTACATTCGCAAAATTTGGCCGCCAATTCCGATTTGGATCGAATTAAATCGCCCGCGTTTTATTATACACATCGCATTTTCGTCCGTATCGCTTTAACTCACTGGAAGTCGACCTCGGGAACAATATTCGCAGATTATCCAGTTGTAACTGTAACTCGATACAAAAGAATGAGCGATCTCGTCATGCGTTGTCTCGCATTACACATTGGCTATATTCCGTGACGATGAGAGAATAAAACGACATCATTTATCTAATATATGGAGACTCATTAATTAAACCGCGCGCGTTCTTACATGCACTCGTGAAGTATCAGACTTTGAGCAAAGTGAACACATAAGAAGGAAACGACCAACGCGTGCGCGATTAGGGGAGGGAATGTGATTGAAGAATGCCCCTGGAGAGAGAGAGAGAGAGAGAGAGAGATGTCTGACAATTCGTATATTCGAGAGGACACCACAAATCGCGCGGTTACAACAGTTTATCAACATCGCGAGTCCCCAACTCGAGACGAGAGGAGCCTCGGCTGGGCCGGCAAGGCCGGAGAGAGATTCCTTCTCGTGAGTTATTCATCCCCGATATGCATTTCTTCTTCCACTTTCCGTCCACGGAAGTCCGATGTATCCGTTCGTCACCGATTCCGGGCTATTTCTCTCTGGCACCGAGGCGAAACGGCATCGTTCCTTCACCGAGTCGCCGCACCAAAAAAAAAAAACAATTCGAAAAGAAAACGAAAAAAAAAACAGAGAACCGTCGGTCTCGCGTGCGGGGGTGTCATGGTCGCGCGGTTTCACTCGCGTAAGTCGAATCGGTGGCTCCACACGTCGTCCGAGTTCGCAACGCGCGCACACAGGATCTATGGCGGATCCTCGCGCCGGGGTCCCTTAATTTTCCACTAGGTTGCACTCGGTTCACAGCTCCGTTAGATGGTGCCATCCGTTCGCTCGGCGGCCGCCACGGGCGTCCGAAGGAGTCGGCGCGTCGTGGAAGCGCGAATTTCAAGCCGTGGCGGCGCGGTGGCGGCAACGGCGGCGGCCGCTCAGAACTGCAGGATCTGATTGATCCACTCGCGAAACTCTGAGATGCGCGTGTAAACGCCAGGCTGGTTGGGCGCGGCGCAGCCGATGCCCCAGCTGATGATCCCAGCGAGGATCCATCGCTTGTCCCGCGCTCTTTGGATGACCATAGGGCCGCCGCTGTCGCCCTGGAGGAGGAGGAAAGTAAAGTTGTTATCTCTGCGATATATCTCGCGTAGCGATCAGTGTGTATGTGTGTGATCGATGGATTTTCTTAGCTAACATTCCATATAATTCCATGGAAGGATAATCGAGAGATCCTTCTGTCTTTTATTAGTCCGTGCGAAAGTACCGCGAGTACTGACCTCGCAGGAGTCGAATCCGCCGTTCTTCCAGCCGGCGCAGATGAAGATATGAGGGATGTGCTCGATGTAACCCGCGTTCCTGTACATCGTCTCGCATACGGTATTGTTAATGACCGGCACCGCGACTTCCTGCAGTATCGATGGCAGTGGTCCCTCTGGAAAAAATGCGATACGTAGAAACCTCGCCTTCGGCGCTAAATGACTGCTCGCTAAATGACGAAGAGAGGATAAATTTAATGAGATGTAATTTAGCGGGATTCGATCACAAAATTCAGGTCACATCCTCGACGCGATTGGAGAGTAGAGCGATGAATCCGAAAGGAGCGGGCGACTTTAACGCTCACGTTACAGTTAATCAACGCGCATTATCGCGTCGTTGGCTATATAAGCGACGCAACAAGCGACGCGGCCTCGGGTACTCGCGTTAAATTCCTTGCGTATGCCAATACCGTCGTAAAGCCTGCCCCAGCCGGTGACATAGGCGGTGCGACCGACGTAGGTCTCGTCGTCGTCGGGCAGGCAGATCGGCAACACGTTCGGCTGGAACGGCAGGACGGGCTCGTAGAATCTCAGCAGAGCGAGGTCGTACTCGAAGGTTCGCGCGTCAAATTGCGGGTGACTCGCGACGATCTGCACCCTCCTCTCCTGATAGCCGTACGGCTCGTCCTCGTTCGCCAGGTCGTGCTCGCCGATTCTCAGGAGCAGCTCGCTGGGCGGCACGCTGCAAATTACACACATCGGTGCGTTAACTCTCGGGAAATTCTGCCCGGAAGCGAAACACGCGCGACGTCCGTGTTTCCCAATCTGCGAGAATCTCTACGCACAGGCACACTTGCACGTTATTCGGGACTTGTATTTACACGGTGAAAATTAACGTAAATTACCTAAACAGCGGCATGGAATAATGTAACGGTAGAGAGCGCGACGTCGGAGTCGCCAGATTCGCGGAGACGCGGTCTCGGGATTTCGGAAGAATAACACGCGTCTCGCGCGACCTTTCGCGCCCCGTAGTTATTAACCAGGACGGCGCGACAGCCCGTGCGCGCGCGAGAGAGAGAGAGAGAGAGTGTGAGTCCCGCGATCTGTCCGCTTATCAAATATGCCAACTATCAAATGTTTGCACAGGCGGACACAATCTCTCCTCATCGCGCCGAGAGGAGAAGATTGTGACGCGTTGTCGTGAGACGGAATCTTTGCGCTTCGTTGGAGATCGCCGGCTGAGATCATCGCGCGAGAAAACTCGATTATGAATGCCATTGCGACGGCAAACACGATGATGCTTACCTCTCGACGCAGTGCGCCGCGGTGATAGCCCAGTGATGGTTCAACAATGCCGCGCCGCATTTGTGCAGATACGTGGACGTACGCCATTGACGTAACGAGATCTACGGGGGAGAATTCGCCTTGAGAGAGGGAGAAAGAGAGAGAGAAAGAGAGAGAGAGAGAGAGAGAGAGAGGGAGAGGGAGAGAGAGTCAATCGTGCGCGAATTGCCGTGCACGCGATCGTGCTAGCCGATCGATCTAATCGTCGTCTCCGTATATACGTAATAGAGAGGGAACAATGGTTGTTGCCGACGTGGAAGCGGAAGAATACTAGCCGTCTCGACTACGTCTTCTTGCGCGTCTTAGGAGGCGCGTCATGCCGCGCGATTTATTTGTCAAACGACGAATCTCAATTTCCTCATGCCGCTCGAGCAGCGCTTCGCTCCCCTTGTAAAAAAATGATTTCCGAAATCGGCGCTTGAATTCGATCGGCTTCCTCGTCGTTATTTGATTTCGGCGGTACGGTAAAATCTTACGTAACGTCGACACGTTCGACTCGCAGCCTTGAAAATTGCTGCAGTCTGGAAAGAGCTAGCGGATCCTCGAAATTTCTTCTAATGTTCGATTTTCGCGTCTGACCGGCGCGAGATGAGACGGATAACGCGGAGCGAAATCTTGCCGCCCGAATAATCGGCGCGATTGGAGATTTCGGTAATCGCCGTCAATGCTCACCTGCCAAGGCCACTTTCCGAAGGAGCTCCGGCCACCGCCGACGATTCTGGACTCCGGGAAGAGCCTTCGGCCGCACACTGTAAGGATAAGCACCGTCGAGTTTATACCATTGAGTAAATTCGCGGGTCGCAGATGGACGGTCATGCTGGAGGAGCAGCCGACTGCGTTCGTTCGACTGGGTGAAACCGGTACCGTTGCGCGGATGCGTCTCTCGGCTTAATTCTCTCGCTTGCCCGCCGGCGGATTTAGGATTTTTTTCCTTCTCCGCAGCGATCATATTGTGCTTGCGCCGCTTGAGAGATGTCGTACTCGCAGATTGCGGCAAATTGCCGGCTCGAAAATTTACGACGCCGCCGCCGCCGCGGCGTGTCATCGTCTGAATCGAGTCGCGTCACCCGTCGCGATCGGCTTTTACGTGACAAGCGAGCGGATCGCCAATCCGTAAATTACAGCCTCCACCGTGCGTCGTTGTAACTACTTAACGTATATAGTTATTTGACGCGAACGCTTGTTACGTGTAGAAAGTTGCGGAAGAGCTCCAAGTTACGCGAACTTGTCGATATTAAAATACTTTTTTAGCAAGGGCGCCGGGGGCTAAGGAAGGTATCGGTAATGATATAAATCTGTCCACCCACTCCTCGTACTTATTTTTTCACCTATGAAGTGCATGTGCGGTATGGTGCTTCGTGAATAAACAGATGTCTACCTTATCGAGCGAGAGGTTCGATATCTCCACGAGGAAGACGACGCGAAGACGTGCTAGCGCCCGATCAGAAGTTGGTTCATCCTCCGGATGTTTAACTGGGGCAAAATCGAACGGAACAACGCGAATTCTCCTAGACTGACCCGAATCCAGTTCCGCGTTTCACCGGTCATTTTGTTTTTAGTCCCGACTGGTTCCAGTCGAGTAACGATTCGTTCCGGTCACCCAGTCTAGGAGCGATCTAATTTCTTTTATTCGCGCACACCGATGCCCGATGCATGATGCGCTCGCCGGCAGCGCGATTTACGCCGCGATTCGTCCAATATTTACGTATTCACCTTGTTTATAGTCTGACATATTGAGAGTCTCCATCGGCACCGGAAACTCCGTGTCGATCGTAACGCTGGCGATCGTTGACAGAGTGCTTATCGTCATTGGTTTCTTCGTGACGTAATCGGGAATCGTGGTGCTCTCCGTTATCGGTTTGGCTGAAAATCCAGGCCGATCGGAAGTTCTCAATCAAGTGGAAATACACCTCGCGTCAAATAAGAAAATGACACGTTTATTAAAGCGCTTTCTGGATGAGAAGCGGTCTCGAGTGTAATCGTAATCTGACGGAGTGGCGCAAAAGTTTGTCCGAAAAAACAAAGAAATACTCGTCTCAGATAATATAAAAAAGAAATATCCGGAATAAAAGTTCGATCATAGCTCTCGAGCGACTCATTTCACATTTCTACGCCCGGATGTAAAAAGGAAACACGTATTAAAGCGTATTACTTGAGAGAGTTCCAGCGGGGAAATATTTAGTCGGAAATGCAGATTGCTGTCGGAATACTAAGATCTAGTGAGAAGTTTCTTCGTTGATTTTCTTTATTAAGACTTATTAGAAGATATTCCTTTTAAGTCGCTGCGCGCTCGTTTGTACGATTATATCTTCCGACTCTTAAAAGTTCCTCAATCCAGCGAGTGAATTCCGCGAGCGCTCACAAAGGCTACAATTAATATGCCTTACCAGAAGTCAAAGACTGCATAGTGGGTTCCGCAACCGGTTCGGTCGTCGACTCTTGAGTTTGCGGTAACTTTTCGGTAGGCGACTGAATCATTATCCAGCTATCCGGAGTCGTTATCGACGACCAATCGGTTTCTGTGTGCTCTGCGAAGCGAACACGCGATATAAATATGGATCGTAATTATCGTACAACGGGGAATCTATTAACTAAGGGGCCATTCTTTCTTAATTGCGCCCACGAGAAAAACAACGCGGACAACCGATCCGAAGATAAAAGGTGCTCACTCTCCCACAACACACTCAGCACACACACACACACACACACACACACACACACATACGCTGCGGGTTCTCCTCGTTATTTTCGCCGCGAGCAAATCGACCCCGAGTCGCGAACCCATTCAATATCCCTGTGGACACCCTGTATACGCCAAAACGATCCGAAGGACCCTTCCCTCAGTCCGTGAACCTCCGTTTCTCAGAATGCCTTAGTTTCGACCATCATGCTAATTCTCTCGAGGCACCGCGAACCGGTTTGATTCTCCGATTTGGGGTGTTCGATGCCAGCGAATTCTCTCCCTCTCTCTATGTCTTCCCTCGGTCTCTCTTCTTCTCTCCCGCTCGCGACAACATCCGCCGAGAGTGGAGCACGGTCATTAGAGAATAATTCGAGTGGCTTGTACAGGACGAAGATGATTAGATCACGTCGGCGCGGAGGAGCCAGCTCTCGCGATGGCCGGTTTGCGCGGACCGTTACGACGTCCCGATCCGTACATCATAATCCGGCGGTATCTGCCGCGCGCGGCACCGCGTGATCCACATAGCGTTGCGTTAGTATACCCCAGATGTACGAGGGCAGTCTGAAAAGTTGTCGGCCTAACGATGAAAGAAAATTCTTTTTGCCGTAAAATATGTTTTATTTTTCAATATAATCTCCTGAAACTTCAATATATTTATTCCAACGTTTCTCCAATAATTCAATACCATCGTTAAAGTGTGATTCCGGAAGGTTCTTTTCGGTGTATAGTGGTGGATCCAAGTTTCATCAACAGTTATGAAACACTCTTGAGAAATACGCGTTCGAATGCATTTTTGCTCAATTGTCAGCAAACGCGACACCCATCTTGCACAAAGCTTTTTCAACTGTTGTGCTACTACTCGAATGATTTGACAGATCGAATAAAATTTTACATGGGTTTATATCAGGGATGCCACTTTCCAATACAATTATAGTTTGACAGTTTCTAATGCCAGGTCGAGAACTTTTCAGACTGCTTATGTACGATGTAGCAGGCCCGAGGAACGGCCTTGGCTCGCGTCCACGGGGCTCACCCGCGTCCTCGCGGCCCTGGGATAGATAAAGCCTGTAGATTTATCGAACGAACGAACGAACGAACGAACGAACGAACGAACGAACGAACGAACGAACGAACGAACGAACGAACGAACGAACGAACGCGGGGCGAATCACCCACTTACCGGCGCGCGTCGTAGTCCAGTTTCGCCGCTCGTCGCGGCACGCAATCGAGATGCAATTACGCCACTTGAGGACGTGCGACGTGGAACGTCGTTGACGCGCGCGACCGGTGACATCGCCTCCGGCGAAACCGGTCCAAACGGATTACATCGGCCGAATCGTTGACCTCGTCACGAAAACACGTGAACTTGTAGTCCGCTGGGGGAAGAGGAGGAGGAGGAGGAGGCGGTCGATAATATCCTTCCGATGGGATATTAAAAAATCCGGAAGACGGATGCGAGTTTGCTGTCCGACAAAGAGCGTCATCCTTGAGCGTTGGGATGATCGCGAGAAGAAACGGGTCTCTCTCGGAGCAAAAGATCTGTAAAGCCGCGAGTTCGAGCCGCGGCGATCTCGCGGCTCGAAAACGCGCGTCTTACGAATTTTCTCGACTTGCTTCTTTCTTGTTCCACGGTGGATCTTGTACGCGACACACTCGGCAGATGATTTCGCGCGATATTTGATCTCTCGCTCGGCGATCAATCTCCCCGACGTAGCGATAATTCACTTTGTACCCGGCGACGCGCGCTCGTGTGAGTTTTAAACATGTCCCCTTCGCCGGCATCAATCACCACCTTCGAGGAATTATCGGAAACGTGATTAGCAGGCTTATTCGCGTGCTGAAGCGTCTGTATGCTAACGCGGTGAAATCAGCAGAAAACGGACGTTCATTGTGCAACGCGATGCCCGTTGTCGTCAATAGGAAATCATACTAATAGCGGAATCCAGCGTGTCGTCGTGCGGCACGTTGCGTGCATGAAAACCGACGCGCCGGGAATAACGAGACCTCGGCGAGCGATTTGATGGATGGATCGCTCGTGAATTTATCGCACTTCGCTTTCGCCGCTTTTACAATCGATCGCTCGTACAATAACTGAATGCGAGGCGATCGAGATTATCCCTGCCGCCGTCTTGTGTCTTGCGTACCTGCATATTTTGTTGTCTGCGCGCAACAGATCCCGAAAATAGCTCGTAAAAATTGCGAGCTCCTATTCAATCACGCGGTCGTATTTAATAACGAAAGAATAGCGGCCGCGATTTTGCGATCAACTGCGACCTAGAAAATCACATGCCTGAAATATCACACGATGGACATGCAAAACATGTAACGTTATCTTCGAAATCACTCGACCCGATCGCGCAGCTCCAGTTCGATGTAGCCCGATACGGAGTTATCAATTATCAAAGGTTACCGCGCTTCTCGCTATCGCTGCGACATGCTCTCACCTGTCGACGTAGACGCGGCTGTAGTCGTCGGAGGCGTCCACGAGGACGTCGACGGCGACGGCGACGTCTCAGGCGCCCTTGTGGACGCCTCGTCGGAATTCGAGCTCCACGTGACTAGTCCGGGCGAGTAAGTGGTCAGCGGGATCTCCTCGAGAGTGTTATTGTCCTCTTGGCCCTTCGTAAACGGCGCGCTGGTCGAAGCAGTCTCGTTCCTAACGGCAGACATGGGCATCGAACTCGAGGTACTCATGGTGACCTCCACGGTAGTGCTGGACATGGTCGCGGGCACCTTCGTCAAGGGTTTCGTAGGTTTCGTCGTGGTAGGTCTGGGTCTCGTAGTGTCGACCGTCGACGACAACGGTCTCGTTCTCTCCGTGGTCGTCGTGGTAGCGTACTCGTTGGGCTTTGTAGTCCTCGTCGTCGTGCTAGTGACCTTGGTGGGCTTCGACTTGATCGTGGTCGACGGCGACGGCGACGGCGACGGCGACGGCCTAGACGTGGTGGTTCTGCTGACGGTCGTTGTTTTCGCCGTCGTCGTCGGCGGCCTGACCGTAGTCGTTCTGATTGTCGAGGTCTTTGTAGTCGCCTTCAGGTTCGTCCGCGGCGTCGTGGTTCTCGTGACGGTCGGTTTCTGGTCCGGTCTCTTGGTCGCGGTAACCGCGGCGGTAGAAGTAATCTTCTGACTGCTCGTGCTCGTAGTCGTCGTACTCGCGGTCGACGGTCTGCTCCCGCTGGAGGCCAAGGTACTCTCCGTGACGCTCGTGCTTGAGGATCCAACACTGCTGAACGATCCGGAGGTCGTATGAGGTCTGGTCGTCGCTGCTAAAGTGCTTCCAAGACTGGAGCTCGCGGTGGGTTTCGCGGCGGGACTTGATGGTCTCTTCGTTAACGTGGTGGGTTTCTTCGTGGTCGTTACCGGGCGTTTCGTTAGCACTGTCGCGGTGCTGCTGATGTCGCTGGTGGTCGGTCTCTTGGTGCTGCTGACGGGCTTCCTGGTGGTCGCCTGAGTCAGCGGCTTGGGCGACGTCGAGTTCCTCGGCGGGAACCTGGTTGAAGGTATCGTAGCTGGCTCGGTCTTCGTGCTGGTCGATTGAACGGGTCTGCGCGTGGTCGAAGAGCTCGGCTTGTGCGAGGTGTGCGTCGGTCTCTGTATCGTGGTCGTGACGACCGGCCTCTTCGTCGTCGTCGTTTTCAAGATTGTCGTGTTGACGGCCAGTTTCGTCGCGTTCTCGGTGCTGGGTCGCGGACTGGACGAAGTGGATGGCTTGGTGGGTCTTCTCGTTGTGCTCGACAACACGCTCGACGGTCTGTTGTTCACGACGATGCCGACGGTGCTCTTGGACGAAGTGGCTTCCGTGCTGGCGGCTCCCTCGGGAGCGCTCTGCACGGTCTGGAATGTCGAGAGACGAGTGGTTTGTGTGGTGGTCTCGATCGTCGTGATCGTCGGCTTCCTCGTCACGAACTTTGTCGTGTCCCTCAGCGTGCTCGGCGTGCTCGGCTTTACAGACGTCGTCTGAAATTTCGCAAATTTATTCACGTGTGAAAATAAGGATTTACCGATACGGTGAGACGCTCAAGTTGGACGGGTGGCCGATAGCTCAATTTCTCCCAATTTATTATGTATCACGTACTCGACAAGTTCCGCGACATATCGCGGTCGGCGGAGAGTGCAAATTTAACGCGTGATGAATTTTATATATCGCGACGGTGAGAGAGAGAGAGAGAGAGAGAGAGAGAGAGAGAGAGTGGATGTGGGGTTTTTAAATTATTAATTTGCCTCTGAAGGAAAATACGTGTCGAATGTGGAAATCGTGTCGGCATGTGTTAATCTTTGGTTGTTGGACCGAGCGAATCCGGTTGGATGGAGGATCAGAGCGGATAAAGGTGTGTCCTTCAGCGAAAAAGCGCGCGATTTCGGCGCGCCTCGCACACACGCTGACTAATTGCCATCTTAACGAGCCACTTTCTTCCTTCACCTGTGAATCAGTTGTGAGGTCACACGAACCACCAACGTGCTTTTTCCCCGCTGATCTCACAAACATATACGTTCCGAAGCACACGGGGCGTGTAGGAAGTTAATATAATATAGCCGAACAGGCTGAGAAAATACGTTTCTCGCTCTTCCCGCGACGCGTCGTGAATCGAGCCACTCGACCGGCCGCGGTCGTTCACCCTCTCGCGTTGTGCCGTCCAAGAGAGTTCAACCATGGTGCGAGCTCTTGAGGCTCTTGATTCATGATAACGCAATTAAATTAGAATGTAATCCCGCCCCCGCCGCAAAAGATTCGAGCCGGTCGGACGGACATCGCCATTTATCAGACCGTCCATTTCACCAGCGCGAAGCTCGCGGACGACGACACCGGCTGTCGACAGCCTGACCGTGCGATAATCCTCGCCAAGTGACGTTACTTCGATCCCATTGATTCGCCTCGCGGAATTTCCAGCCGTCACGCCGCGTGTCTCACGTCGCGCGCCCCGGTCTCGCCAGGAGAGCCGGCCTCTCCTCTCCCCCCTCTCTCGTTCTCTCTCGGCTTCATTAGCGATCGCGTTTACTTGCCGTGGCTTGCTGCGAGCTGCTCGCGTACTTCTCGACTTCGGTCGGCTTCGGCCTTGCGAAGTACTCCGGTATGTCGTTGCTCTCGATAGGCCCGTCAGTCGTGATGAACGACGGCCTCGGCGGCGACGGGCCGTCGTCGATGCTGTTGTCCTGCGGGAAGATGTCCGGCTCGTCGTCGATCTTGCAGCAGCTACCGAAGTAGAAGCGATCGATGCAGGTGCCGAGGTGCGTGCCGTTAGCCTTGGCGCAGGTAAACGCGAACATGCACACGCCCGTCTCGCCGCTCCTGCGTGACACGCAGGGCAAGTGCCTGATGTTCCTGCCGGTGCCTGCAACGTAACGAGAGGAAACGGCCGCCATTACATCCGTCGTGTGTGTGTGTGTGTGTGTGTGTGTGTGTGTGTGTGTGTGCAAGCGCGTTTCTAACAAAACCGATATTCTCGTCTCGGCTCCTCCTCCTCCTCCTCCTGCTCCTCTCCTCCTCTTCCTTTTGCCCCGTACTTGAACGCTTTTCGCGACAGGTTGCAGGGAAAGAAGAATCGCGGCTGTTTTTCTCGTTCGTTAATAACGCGCTAATTGCCCTCGAGGTGATTTTCGCGAGTACAAAAGATCTCCATCTCGCGAGGAAGCGGCTCGAGACGTTCGATCGACGGAAAAGCAACCACCGCGATTTCCGCTTACTCGTCATTTGCCGGATTTGTCTGCCTGTGAATCTCTCTCTCTCTCTCTCTCTCTCTCTTTCTCTCCCACACGTGGCTCTACGTCGGCCACGTATTGTTTTTTAACTCCCGACCCACATAGCGCGGCGCGCGCTTCGCGCTGATAACATTAATGTATTCTTTACACGCGGCACTCTCTCTCATTTAGCGCTTTACAAAGACGCTTCGTCCCGGCGACAATACGCGATTGTCCCAGGCGATAAGCGGGACATGCTTCTGCCGTTCGAAACTTGATCCCCGCGAATGTAACGTGAAAGTAAAAACTCCCTTCCGCGTTGGGGAAAAAAGTCGCGAAATGAAATATTACGGAGGGAGCGAGCAAGAGAGAAGGAGAGAGAGAGAGAGAGAGAGAGAGAGAGAGAGAGAGACGCCTCGAGGAGAGCTCCCTTCGCGAAGCCGTCAACGCCGGCTAGATAAATGCTTCCGTGTTCTCTGATCCTCCCCGAAGTGGGTATACATCAGCGTTCACCCGCGGTGTGTGTCTCTATAACTGTTCATTCACGATACACGTTCCACATTTCCGTCGTAACACTTCGCTCTCGTATCGTCAACGCGCGTATCGTTTATAATTCTCTCACTTGACGGTCTCGCCGAGCGTTCAGCCGAGCGAGCGATCTCGCCACGGATGATGGAAGACGCGGCGGGCTCCGGCGTAAGCGCCGGCATAATTGCCGGACGGAATCAAAAAGGAAACGCAAGCGCGATTATGACGGATTGCACTCCAACGCGGCCGACGGCGACGATCAAATCGTGAGTATCGACGAGCGAACAAGCAATCGATACGTCGTAAGATACTCTTTTTATTTGTTTTTTACAATATGTGCGAGAGAGAGAGAGAGAGAGAGAGAGAGAGAGAGAGAGAGAGAGAGGGAGAGGGAAGTGGGAGCGGGGGAATCGATGGAAACCGCAATCGACGCTATCGAGATGGGGGAGAGCTTTAAAAGTTACAGTTGATGTTACTCACAAAATCCATTTGTTCTCCGGAACGGCCGGAGGCTACACGCTCGCCGCGGGCTTTTGAAAATCGCGCGTGCGTGCGAGGGAAATTGCGCGGCATTCGCCGCGACGTCGCGGAAATTCCCTTTTCGTCGTCCGGGCGAACGAAGTCGGCGAACAAGCAGATGTCACGCGCGAAACTTAAAAAGTCGGCGATATCAAAGGCGTATAACGGAATGACAGAAGTCTGCCTTGACAATGATTCATATGGTCGTGCAATACAGTTAGTCGCGGAAGAGGTGCGCGCGCGCGCGCTCGCGTCAGAGGAAGATAAAGAAGCGCGTTCTCCGCGCGGAAAATAAGACCACGAGCTTTCGCGTGCGAGTGGACGATGCTGAAATATTAACGAAGACTCGTCGACGTTGTTGCACCGCCCTCTCGATAGCGCGCTAATCGCTCCCATTGCGCGTTTAAATATTTTTCATTTCTTTTTTCAAAACAAAGAGAAAAAAGAGAACGAACGCGGAAGCGCGTCGTCGGGTGCTCACGGTGAGCCGGAGATTCTCCTCATCCTCGAGGCCGAGCTGGGATCGACGAGGTCGCGTATAAATTCGCGATCCCCGCGAGTAAATCCTAATCGACGCTGTCCCATGATCGCGGTTTTATCGACGATCGATTGCGAAACACCGCTAACGCGTTTACGGCGCATGCCGCATTACCGGAGAACGAATTGATGTCAGGCAAGCCGAAGCATCCCGGTACCGTTAAGTTTCAATGTATGAGCTAGTTGCCCGACCCAAAAGTGGGTCACAGTCATAGCCTAATGTAACAGCCTGTTTCCCTCTAAGATACCTCACGATCTTTTCCTCCTCCTCCTCCTTCTCCTCTTCCTCCTCCTCTACCTTTTCTCCTTCTTCTTCTCCTCTACCCCTTCTCTCTGTCTCATCTTTCCATCTTTCAATTTTTCTACCTGCCTCATTCTCTCTCTCTCTCTCTCTCTCTCTCCCCCCCTCCCTCTCCCTCTTTCTCCTCGAGGTCTCTGGCCCAACGAAATCACCGCGCATTCCGGGCTACCTCGACTAAGCGTGATTAAACGGACATACCTTGACCCGCGAGCTGCGGCCCGGCTGGTCCAGGCGAGTCCTCGACTCGCAGCTGAAAAACCCACGAACGGTATTCCGTGCGCGACGCGGAATACCGCGTCAAAGAAAGTGACAGATTGCCAATCGCTGGCGGACGTTCGTCCAGCAGCGCTACATAATATTCCGATCGCATTTGGCCACGCGTCTACGAGCAGGTGAAAGTAACATATATCGGGTCGTTCGATAGATTCGATAGGAATTTTTAATCCGAAGAACTTTCCATAGCCCGTAGTCAGGCGCTATTTTATTTCTCTTATTTCATTTCTGTTTTCGACGGGCTGTCATTGAAAAAGCGGTAGGCACATTACCGAACAAAATTATGTCCACCTGTAAAAGTATCGGCCTTGAACTCTTCACAAAAACCACTACGAACTCATCGAAAGAGCCAATCGAGAATCGACCGTGGCGCCGAGAGACGCGAGAGAGATTTCGAGCAGAAAGGTATCGCGATTTCTTCTCGCTCGGTCTGCTGGTCCTTGTTTCAGGATCCTGACGCTACCATTCGGGCAAAATGGTAGAACGCTCGCGAGGAGAGTGAAGCCATCCAGCCGGACTCCGCAATTTTACTCGTTAATTACGTTGTTCGGCGAATCGGACGAGTCGTCAATTAACGCGAGCGACGACAAAAACCACCTGTAATCGGTCACAGTGCAGTTCTCGCGTGCGCCGCGGTCGTCACGAAAGCAGCCGTTGAAATTCCGTCGTTTTTCCGCGAATGTTTACTTTCTTTTGCCGACCAACGGCCAAGCCGGCGAAGCCGCGGGGCGGAGGGGGGAGGGAGAGAGGCGGGCGCGTTTGGTGGCGAGTGAAAATCAAGCGTAAAATTGTTTTACGGTCCCAGGACTTGCGCTGGCTGGCTCGCTCGCTCTACCAGGTCAGTCGGTCAGACCGCGCGCCCAAAAAGTCCTACACGTCCGCTCGTCATCCTTCCGCGTAGAAAATGTGTGCTAACGGAAGTGACGCGCGTTAGTTAGTCACTGACGTGAAAGAAAGTTGGTGATGCCTTTCTGCAGTTGGCGGAATTTCAAGCCGAACCGCAGCGAGGGAGCGTGCGCGTTTGCACGCCCACGCGTCGTGCGGTCGAGCGCGAAGGATTTCACTCGCGGATCCGCGGATCACGCACTAGGAAAGTGCTTTATCTGATCGCGACGGAACGTCGCGCGGAAACGGAAGTTTAGCATTATCGCGCGCAGGAGATCAGCCGTCCGAGGTGGTCCCTGTCGTCGCACCGCCGACACCAGGATACCATCGGCGAACGAGGCGCGCAGTCGCCGGGAAAATCCTCTCTGCGCCACCAGCGCAGCGCGCTCCTTTGTTCGCTTTTACAACTTGCACGCTCTTACATCATAAGAAAGATTTATTTACGGTTACATTCCGCGGTGGAAGCAAAGTTTTACACAAGGTGTAGCGTTATCACGACTTCCCCGCTAATTTTCTCTCCGCGTTCTTCTCACGAGTTGTCCAATTAATTTATTTTCCTTTTTTTACGCTCGTCACGCGGGTATAAATTTCGAACCCGCTGCGCGGGTTAACTGGAAATTATAAAATTACGAGGTACCACGAGCATCTCGGCGGCGCCGAGCCGAATAATCCCCGCGAGCAGAGACGACCCTGGACGACGACGTCCCGTGGACCCTCGAGCGTGTTCGGGTCAGCGTCTCGGAGGATGACGGAGGAAAAATCATTATAGTCACGCGGCCCCCTGATGACCGCGGTTGACCCACTTGTACAGAAAACTGACCAGTCCGCCCACGTTCCGTTCGAACACGAATTCAAGGTAGGTTCAATGTCGCCGCGTGACGGAGGCGGGGTAGGCGCTCACGCACACGCACACGTAGAAAACGATCGTGCCTCTCGCCTCGTGGCTCGTATTTGTGTAGCCCGATCCGTTACTCAGCTGACACGAGGAAAATGCAACGAGCGTGAAAGAGCCAGCGGGACAAACAGAAGTGTATCGTGCGTACACTTCTTGGTGTACCGGCGCGCGATTCGTGTCACGCCAGAATCGAGATTTCAGGTTCAGCAAACGTGCGTTTCGCGATGTCGCGATTAAAGATGGTGATGAAGAACATCGCAGCACATGGAGGATAATCTTGGCGAATAATAACGAATGAATGAATTCTCAGGAAAGTGTGGTAAAACGCTTTAGCGAGAGCCAGCACCGTTAAGGATTTAACTCTCCCGGAGTTTCTGTCATTCTCTTTTTGTTTCTGTTCAGCCTTCCCGCTTATCTCTTTTTCTCCCGGGGTTGAAGAATCGAAGAAAATTAAATACTCGACACGAGGACTAGGATGTTGCCGGGAATACAGATCGGTGATGTTTCGCACGAATATCGGTGCGCCTCGCGGAGGAATGCGGCGCGTTTATTTCGATCGTTAATTCGATTATGCCCGTAATTAAGTGGAATTGAAGTTACTCGTAATGAGCGAATTGGAGGTCGATACTCGCCGAAGGCGCACCGCGCAATTTCCGTAAGACGACATAACGGCAATTTAATCAGCAAATTGCGATCATTAAGTAAAGCGCGTTACAGAGAAAACCCCGTCCGAACCGCGTCCGCGGCCGAACTGTTGATACTCTTCCTGGGGAATAATAATAGAGCAAACGCGCGCGTAATAAAGACTTACTTCCCGGTTGAAATTGAGGAACGTAGATTGGACTGGCGATAACCGCGGTATGGATCAACACGTTGCCGATGAGAACGGCCCAGGCCCAGGCCTGTTTTCGCCGATCGCACATCTGAAACATAGACGAAAGCCAGAAATTAGTCTCTCGACCTCTGAGGAGAGGAAAAGCATCGTGTTTCCCTCCGAGACACTTATAGCGCCGCTTAGCCTGCGCGTTCGCGAGGAACACGCGATAATAGGTGGCTGCGAAAGATAAGTTGGCCGTCTTTCCCGTCACCTCGCGAATTCTCCACGTCACGTCGGTGACCTTATCCCTCGTGCACTTTCCTTCCTTCCTTTCCACCTTCCTTTTCGAAGTGATTAATGGTTCGCGGCCAGAATTTGCAAAACAGACCCGGCGCTCAGCGCGTATCTCTCTCAGTCAACGTCTGACCATGATCACTCGCTCGCCGTCGGGATAATTCCTGAGAACGGGATAGGACGAGAATCTCGTTCTCACGGAGGATCCGTAGAAGCGACTCTCCGTCTGGGCGTAATTACATGATGTAAATTCATTTGATTATCGCGGGTGGTAACAGCGCCGCGCTGCCGCCGTCTCGTCGCCTCATCAATTGTCTATTTCTAGCTCGCGGCTCGGCTCGCGCGCGCAGACACGGCTCGTTTTAAATTCGCCAGCGGATGTTATTAATCGCGCGCCGATCCACTTTCGTCCGTTTGCATTTTCTTTTGTAAGCGCGCGGCGAGGCTACAATTTCGGGGCGGATTAACGTGTCCCGCGATGTCGAAGCGCGATCGACGCGGCGTGACGGATCGCGTCGTCCTATTACCGCGCCGAAGCTCATTTATCATCCACAATAGACGAGCGAATGAATGCACGAACGAACGGAAATGTGTTTAACCGCGCGTGTCTTACACGAGGCGAAGTGTAAAACTCCTTCGCGTTGTAGAGGCGGTTAAACGCGAATGTTACGTAATTAATTGTGCGATTGTTCAAACACACAAACGCGCGGGCGATTCTCTCAGTGTAACGGCGGCTTCTCGCGCTCATGACCGCCGAGTTGTGAAAGAAACGTACAGAAGGAGCGAACGAATGAATAATCGTAACCGATCGCGCACACCGAGCATGAAATCATGTTCAATTAAGCCATCAAACGGTTCAGACTTTTATCTGTTGATTTAGCGCGCTTAAAGCACCAAGCACGCGCGTGTGTAGCGGCGACGTCACCGTAACAGTCCCGCCGTAACGAGACAGTCGATCGGGAATTCAATTAGAAAGTAGAGAAAGAAGAAGAGAAAGAAAGAGCTCGCGAGTGCGGTGCAATTGTCACGTTGCTCGATCTTCTCGTAATTTGATAGCACTCGCTCGGTCGTGTTCAGAATCCTAGCCGGCGGCTGTGAGTTCGACAGTGAAAAGTTCGAGGCGAAGTTCACAGCTGATCGTCGCGGGATCAGCTGCGCGATCAAGTATGACGAGGGACGGTCCAAGGTCGCGAGAGTAAGAGTATACATAATCAGATCCTCTTTCGCGTTATCAATTTGACCTCGCGAAAGATGAGATGACGTGACGCGGTCAACGACCGAGTCACGAAGTTTCTCTAATTTCGCGGGCTCGCCTGCTGAATCTATCATTCGCAGGGCGAACTGATGAGCGAAAGATGACCGGGAAATCTGATAGTCATACCGCGAGAAATTATTCTCTCGGTATCTTGGGACATTTTATATACATACCTCACTCAACCGATCCATTAAGGACTATTCTCATTTCGCAAATATCTCAAATTGAAACACCAGACTGTTTATTTCTTACAGCTTCTCGCTGTTGATATTAGAATCGTTTTGATCAAAGTCATAAGTATAACTGAGAATTAGATGTGCTGAAGACGTAAGAAATAAAATATCTCAAGTAATTTTAATCTACGAAAGAAAAGCGAATACGCTCAACAATCCGAAGGACCGATTCTCCTCTTCCTTGCTAAGCATGGGACTCTTGTAGGTCGAGTCCTTTTTTATCTTAGGCCATGCTCGAGGAATTGGGACGTTAGATGTTAAAAAGAATCAGAAGGTGAAGTCGAAGATGTAAATTGTATCGACGACTCGTTATCAGCCCCCGCGACGATAACGTAAAATTGTACGACTAACCGTTATCTCCCTGTTTAATAGCGGAAACAATGTAGGAAAATTGCGGTCGAAGAATTTTGGTTCAGAGAGATTACTGTAGGCTGCATTTTTTGACGTTGATAATCTCGCTTTCGCGCACACGCGATGGCGATTTCATTGTCGACCGTCGTTCGAAATTTATACAGCGGATAGAAGGGAATCGCGGGACGAGTTTTCGGACGTGATGAAATGTCGTCGTGGATTCACTCTCGCGGCCAAGACGAGACACTCTTCGAGATCTCGTTTCCGATCTCCTGACGCGACTCTTCCCACTTCGCGGTATCCTCCATCACGGTTTCCTCGGTTGCCGGCGAGGATGTAAATGCTCACGGTGCCGTTGACGATGTGGTTACCCGGACACTCATAGCTGTGCAATCGGCGAGAACCGGGTTACAGTTATTCGGAGAGACAGGAATTTGGGTGTAACGTTATACTTGGCCGAGCTCGAATCACCGCCGGCCGCGGTGACCGGCGGTAGGCGACGATGATCCGTCGATGATCCACTCGATCCGAGCACGTGTGTTTTTCGCAACAAGCAATCTCGGTCGGTCGCTGTCGCGAATAATCACCAGTTTGCTCGTCGCTCCCAATTCGTTAATCGCTGTTGCCAGCACCTAACTTAGTTTACCGTTGTGCGATGGATTTGTTCGCGATTTGTTTCATTACGAGCTCTCTCTCTAATCCCTTGGCTTTTGCGAAGTTGACTTCACTGAGTTCCTCGTGTAGAATACAAATATTATTTATACATATTTTTTTACAAATCTTTGATACTTTCAATTTATGATTTATCTTTCTGACACTCTTGTGTGTAACGAGGTAAAACTTCCAGTAGCCGGCAGTAATCTTTCAGCCTTCGGCATATTCTTTCCACGTGGATTTTATCTGATCTTGAAGAGCACAGAGATTTACTAATTATTTTCCACACACAATCATTTATTGATTACTATTTATTTTTATTTATTATTTTTAATTCCCTGAATACTTGGTAAAATACGGGCAAGAGTGTCGAAAATTGGCAATAAGTGCCGGCCACTTGACGTCTCCTATCCTACCCGACGATTGACATTCTCGTTACGGTGACATAGCGGTGACATAGAGAGAGATTGCAAAACTCACACAAGTCCGTCGTCTGCGATTACATCGCAAGATCGCATGTATCGAGCGAGTGTTTTCAGATTGAATCTCCGGTCTTTCGCTACGGATCGCACAGGATATGCAGCGATTTCATCCAATGCGCACTCGCGCCTGTGCACGCGTCTCGAGAGAAAGGAAGTGATAAAAACGGTTACAGTTATCCGGAGGCCGGGAATTTGGCTGGATGAATCAACCTGCGCGCGCGCGCGCGCGCGCGCTCGACGTGAGTTGCGTTAGCTTGTCGATGGTCAGGTCATCGGTTTCCCGCTTCGAAAACGTCGGCCAACGGTTATCTCGCGTGGTCGACGCATATCTAATTGGTATCTCGCCTCACTTCAAGTCGGAGCATGGTACCCGCTGTTAATTGGCTAGAACGGAGCAACGCGTGTAATATCCGCGACGGGAGCACAGTGCGACTTTCAATCGGCTCTCTCGTTCAATACGCTCGAGAGAGAGAGAGAGAGAGAGAGAGAGAGAGAGAGAGAGAGAGAGAGAGAGAGAGAGAGAGAGACGGAAAAGAAATTGGCCGCTTTATCGGCCGAGTATCGAGTATTTAAGGAACAGCGACGTCGCTTTGTCGGCGAGCACGCACATACGTATAATCGTATTTTACGGAGCGAGATGAACAGTTATTCCTGGTGGATTCAACTCGTATAAATTGGACGATGATATCCGCGGTGGAATTAACATAGCGATACGTGATACTCATCGCGGTACATTTCTCGTCGCTGCCGAGTTTCCACGGTTTTTCATTATCCTCCATATTCGTACACAGACTGCGTGTGTTTTGAATCATTACTTTTTTTCGTCTTCCTTTTACGAGAGCGCGACGTGCCACTAATGACGCTTTCAGATATTTATGGGATCAATGGTCTCCCTCGTTGGAAGAAAATCGCACCGGTTGGCGGCAACGATGACGGCGGTGATGGTGGTGGTGGTGGTGGTGGTGGTGGTCTGAATTGGCGGACGAAAGCGACTAGGATGCACGTGAGCGCACACCGCGGTATATGTGTGTACACGCACGTAGAAAAAGCTTTTGTCGTAACGCAGCGCTCGCGCGTGCGCGCGCGGGGTAACGGTACCTGCCACTTTCATTTGTACTCACGTATCTAATGCGAGGCAGACATGTGGGTTGGCGCCGAGGTATACCGCGCGCAAATAAAACCGTAAGTCTTAATTCCCCGGCCGCGAGTCGCGCCATTATGGCAGATTGCCCCCCTCCTCCCTCGACGTGTAACGACGCGAGAATCCCGGCGATTTTTGGGAACTGGCATTTTTGGGAAATGGCGAAATTTTTCAGCAACTTCTCACGGCCGCTCCGCGCGCGGCCAATTAGAGTGACTCGACGTCGACGCGTGTCGACGCGGAACGTCGGTTCCTCGTGTCTCCGCTGACGGCATTGATTCGCGAGTTTACGTTGCAGAAATGTTCGGGCGGGCAATAACGCGAGACGAGCAGCCGTCGATGAAATAGCCTGACGATAGCGTTTAAGAGCGTCGTTCCGTTCGAAATGAACAATCCTCCCGAGAACGTAGGATTTTTTCTCGATGAGCTCGAGTATGTATGTATATGAATAATACATGAAAGCGCGCGTATATAAAATCGAGACGGGCATTAGTTTATACACGCACGCGTGCGCGCACGTGCACGGCTGCGTGCGCGACGAATGAAATTCAGCCGAGTCAAGTCGGGTTATATACCGCTATTCTGAAGAACATGCGGTTAACTTCGACAACGGATCCGCGATACGTTCCGCTTGTCGGTGTACGGTGTTACACGAGACGGATACACGCCGTCTTGGAGAGTGGATTATTCGCGCGGTGAGCCGCGCTTATATCAAGCGGATAATATCGCCAGGATCTCGAGCAAAAGCGAGCGAGTACAATCCAGATCCACTCGTACGCCTCGCGCGCGCACGGCTGCGGCTCAGCCAAGTGTGCGCATCCCCGCGACCGGCTCCGTCGTTCATTGTTTATCAAGCGGGATTTATTTACGGCGGATTGCCACGCTCGTGCGCAGGAATTCGTTTGTGCTGCGAGACGTCGCGTACGTTCTGCCTGAGCACACACGAGTCCTCCGCGTCGGAGGAAGGAAGCACTTGGTCTCTTGCCATTTCGTCGTTGGACACTCGCTTCGCGGACACTTGCCCTTTCGATATTTCGTCGTCTATCGCCCACTTGTTCGCCCGCGACAAGGGTTGGTCGCACCCTGTACGACACTCGGTGACATTTCATCGTTCGTTTTATTGTATCGATTTTCTCCTTCTTCGTGGCTGGATTCGCACTGCCTTTTTTTAATCTGTCTTTGGCCTTTTTTACACCTTCGTCCGTGCAATTTGATCGAATCCTTGATCCCGGTGTCGAGAACATCATTTACAGTTGCAAAGGGTAAGCTTAGATTATGCCATCGACATCGATTTACGTCACATTCCGATATACGGAGAAAATGATCCTTTCGTGTGCATTTCCTTGCACGTTAGATTTGCCGAGCGATAAATTACTTTTCGGAACGATTGAAGCGTCGCCCAAGCTTATTGTGCCAATTGCCAGACCGGTCGATAGTTCGATCGATAGTTCAACAGGCGGCGGCTACACTTCTTCACGGGCTGCGTCGTGAAGCGTGACATTTTTAATTTCGGGGAGAATCGAGCGTCACTGATCGATCAGTAGCTACGTACCGTGAGCAAGCCGTGTCCGAACCGCAGGAACGGTGAAAAAATATTAATCGCGCCGGTACCGAGGCCAGGGATCAAGGACGGAAGACCACAGGAAACCACCTGTTCGCCCAAGTTCAATAGCACCGCGGGGCTAGGAACCGGCGACTAGCCGGCGCGGGAACCGCGCGATCGCGATCGAATCTCTTAATTATCCCGAAGCGCTCGCCGAGAGAAAGAGAGAGAGAGAGAGAGGGGGGCAGGGGGGGGGAGCGGGGGGATAAAAAACGCGTTACCACCGGCTCATGTGTGCTCGTCGTAATCTCAGCGAAGGTCACTCGCGCAAGAAAGCATGAGGCTTCTTCAGCTCGGGGCCTTGAGACAGAGCTGTAACCGTACCTTGACTGACACTGCCGGTCGACGGACTTGCGGACTGGCCTCTGCCTCTGCCTCTGCCTCTGTCCCTGCGATGCCGCGAAGCGTCTCTCCCCGAGTGTTCAGACCTCGCGACGTTGCATCGTCGCCCTCGGAGCGTCGCGAATCTCCGAGATTCCCACGGCGCGGGTCACGTGTGTGTGTTGGTCAGCAAGCAAGTGGCCACGCTCTCGTGACCGATCACGAATAGCCTGTGACGGGCAGCTGCGCCGCCGCCCCCCCCCCTCCCACGTGGTCCAAGTCAACGGAGTGTTGATACCCTGCGCGTCCGGCGCAGTCCTCCTCCCCGTTTCATCGGTGACCCCGCGCGACCTTTCCACGTGCTCCTCGAGGACGTCCTTCGACCTCTCGGGACCTCGGGACCGGCGGACAGCCACCGCTTGCGCGCGATATCGCCGCTGAGGCGCCAGGAACGAACTGGCTCGTGGCAGGATATCCTCTCGCTCCTGATGTGGGCTACTCGAGCGGACGGACTGCTGACCGGCTCGACCCGCTCGCCACGGCTGGCACCTATCGAACTGGTTTGCTGGTTCACGACTTCTGGATCAACCGATCCCCCGATCCAGGTGCTCACCGACTCGCTCCCCCTGCACGAAGAATCGGCAGGCGGCACGACGACACGCATCGTCCGAGCGCGTTCGCTCACTCGCTCACCCGCTTGCCCTCGCCCTCGCCCGCCCGTCCGCTCGTCCTCGTGAGAAAGAGAGAAAGAGCCCCCCCACGGTACGCAAAGTCCCATGGTACGAACGAACGGCAGGCTAAACTCCGGGACAGCCGCGGATGGTAGACCGTGTCGGGGTCGGCGCTTTTCGTGATGACGGGGACTTTAGCGCGCGGCTTCTCGAGGTGAGGTGGTGGCAATGACCGTTCTCCCGACCGTTCCTCTTCGTCTCCCTCGTGCGCATCGTACGTCCCGATCTCC